GGCCCACCCAGTCACCTTAGCCCAGAGCCTGAGAGAAGAGTCAGGTCTTCAAGGCCCTCCAGCACACCATCAGGGTGGGAGGCTTCCGGATTCCCGGGGGCACCTCATTCCAGGGGGCAGGTGCTGCAACAGAGAAGGCATATTTCTGGAATCCCAAAAGATGATGGTGTTTAATAGAAGGGACCTGGAACATGCCCACCCTGTCAGTCTGAAGTGGCCTGGTAGACACCACTGGAGCCAGAAACAAACTGACAACTAGTGGAGCTCACAAAGCGGGGGTGTTGAGGCATGCCCATCACGTCCCGCATCACTGCATTCTGGACCAGCTGAAGCTTCTGGGTGGTCTTCAAGGGCAGCCCCATGTAGTGTGTGTTGCAGTAATCAACTGTGAGGTGGCCTGGTAATGAGTGACTGGGGGCCTTCCAAACTAGAAAAGTGTGCAACTGGAGCACCAGATGAAGCAGTGTAAAGGCCCTCCTGCTGCCACCTGCTCATCAAATGAGACCCCCAGATTGCGCACCACCCTTGAATGGGAAAGTGTGACCCCATCCAAGTATAAAGATGGAGCATCTTCAGATCTAGGTGGCCCTAACCTCCACAACCACTCGGTCTTGGTAGGATTGAATCGGAGACGGAATCCTCCATATCCAAACCCACGCAACCTCCAGGCATTCGAAAGGACTCTTTTTTTCAGTTATTCCAGTAGAACAACTGGAGATGTGCTGGGAAAAACCTCCTGGGAAATACTTTCTTCTTTAATTTCTTCTTGCATTAATATACCATCAAACTGAACTGGCTCATGGTGGTTTACAGGGATGATGACAGCAAAAATGTAATGAAGTTCAATTCAAATATAAAAACAATAAAGTAGTAATATCCATAGGATGATAATTCATTCACCCTCTAGACAAGTTCTGTTTTAGCCACCTTAGAGCAGTTGCCAGCTGAACCTCTTGAGGAGGAGAGGAACTCTCTGCAGGCCACCACTCTCTCTGATTGATTGATTGATTTGTGTGGCTGCCCATCTCACCTAATTGACTCTGGGCAGCTCACAACAATTAAAACCCATGTGTTGAATAATTATACCTGCAAAACTACCGGAAGCCACTGTAGCACCGGCAATGCACATGTACTTTGGCTGTGGTGGCTCTTATCCATCAGCATGGAGGCTGCCATATTCTGTGCCAAATTCCAAGTAGTCTTCAAAGGCAGCCCCATGTAAAGCACATGGCAGTAGTCTAGCCTAGTGGTAATGAGGATTTGAGTTACTGTTGCCAGGGCCTCCTGCTTGGGATAGGGCTGCAACCTGCATACTGATCAAAGCTGGATGAATTTTGAGAATTAATAGAGTAATATTTAAGATGAGTTTAAGTAAAAATGTTTTAGCATGAGCTAATGAAGGTTTTCATGTTCAGAGTGTTAGAGAAGACTGTTTTTTGCATATGCTGTTCTCGGTTTGCTAAGCTGAATCTGTACATGCTGTTGGTTCTCAGTGCTGCAACTGTGAGGTGGTTTTTAAATAATACAGTTTATTGTGTTTACAATAAAGCAATTGATTTTTATTTCCTGCTTATGTTTTCCTATTTTCACAGATGCCAAAAAGCTAAGATGCATACACAGCTCTCTCTCCCCTGTATGAATATGTTTGAAAAGTTGCTCGAACAGAAGTAAGGCAGCAGTGGGGCTTAGTCATGGGATCCTCTGATTTCAAAGGATCGGATATCGTTCAGTTTTAAAAAATGTTGTGATTTCCCTTATCTTTAGCATTTCAAGATGTGCTGCCTTCTAGTAGACTGAGATAGTCTACTAGTCTTCCATGTTGAGATCAGAAGCAAGACTTCTGTTATAAATTTAAGGACTGTTGCCATCTACAGATTGTGCATTTGCATACAAATTAGCTGTATCACAGGGGAAATAAAATGTTTGTCAGTTCTCTTGTTGAGCGGTTGTTGAGCGGCTGTTTTGATTGGCAATAAAGAATATCCACAAAGTCACATACCAGCCAGCCTTTTCATGGACAGCAGGTTTTCCAGATGTTTTGATGGGTCACAGCTTTCGAAATGAGCACATAAATAAGTGGAGTTGTATGAATTAGAATAACATCATTTACAGGTTTGACACTCTCAGGATCCTCTCTCTCCATTTTCCTTTAAAGAGAATTTTAGAACTGAAAGAGCCCTAAATAAGAGAATGCAAGTGGAACATTCGGCACTGAGTGCTGGATCCAAACCAGATCCAGGCTACTCCCCCTTATTTCAGTGGTTTTGCGAAGGAGAGATTCCTGGTGGATTGAGACCTATGGTAGGTTGACATAAAATTATGCGCTGACTGCTAAACCATCATCTTCCTGACCTAAATGTAATGTCAGTCCATTGGGATGAGCTCTGTTAAAGGTTAATATTGGCTATTGGAAATAAAAATGACTTATCCAGACTACTTCTGTGAGCTAGACATCCAGAAAGGCAGTAACCCTTCCCTCCTTTAGAGCTGTCTGGGTGATCCACCCGGAGAAGTCTCATGGCTATAGCATTTAAAATCCAGCAATCTTAACTGAAGGTATACTTAATGGCTTTATGACTGTAGTCTTTAGACCAGTGTTTCTCAACCTTGGCAACTTTAAGATGAGTGGACTTCAACTCCATGCTGGCTGGGGAATTCTGGGAGTTGAAGTCCATTCATCTTAAAGTTGCCAAGGTTGAGAAACACTGCTTTAAACTATAAATGAAGCATCTATTTATGGCCCTACTAAACAGAAGCAAATGAGCTGCAGGGGACAAGGACATGTTAAAGGCACTACACTGTCCTCCAGTCATTCTGCTCCTTCCTCGGTGATGTTGAAAAGAGACCAGGCAAGCAGTTGTATT